AGGGACTGTCTGATTACAACCCACCACTGTAGATGAATTTCTAAACAGAGCCAAATACAGGGGTAGTAGCTGAAGAGATCAGGGAAATAGCGAATAGCCACGATTAGCCTCAGCTTACCTAACCTCACCGTCGCTCCCCCAGAGAGAGCTTCTTCCTGGCTAAACTGCACTTTTATTGCCTTCCTGTTGTGCCTTCTCATTGGCTCTAAGCTTGGTACTGGGATTAAAGGCATGTATCACCGTGCTTGGCTGTGTCCTTGACACACAGAGACTCTGCCTGCCACGTGATCTGATTAAGGGCGTGGTCTACCACTGCCTGACTTCTGTTTATGGCTCGCTATGTGACCTCTGATCTTCAGGCAAACTTTATTTATTAACATACAAATAAAATATCACCACATATCACTATGCCTAAGTTCAAACTGTTTCTGAAGTATAAGCCATGGTATTTAAGCTGGGCCTATGTGACTTTGGAAGCAGTGTTGATTCTATGTCATGATGGTGTGAAGCCATGGAGGTAGAAATGAGGCTGTGAACAGGATTGCGTATGAATGTAGAACTCCACACAGGAAGCAAGATCTGACCCAAACCTTGGAAAGGAGTCTGAAACAATCAGAAAACAACCAATGAGGAATTCAGTCAAAGTGGTGCCTCAGGAGAACTTTATAGCCTAGGTCAATTTCATTGGCTATGAAGAAGGATACAAATCTTCAAAAGTTATAATGAACAACAAAATAAACTCAAAGAAAATAGAAAGCTAAGATTAACAGAAGAACAGAAATTAATGGAGATATCCATTCCCTCAAACAAACAATAAATAAAGATATTCAATAAAGTCAACAGTCTATCCTTTGAAATAAAAAATGCGATGAGGGGCTTAAAACTTTTCAAGAGAATAAGAAAGTCTTAAATAATAATGGTATAAGCTGCAAAAGAGTCCATCATTACAATGTGCTAATATTTTTAAACTTACATGAAATGGGTAAATCCATAGAAAAGTTTACCCAACTGCAATTACCTTAAGAGGAAATAAAAAGTTTGAAAAATCTACATTTATTAAAGACATTTAGACAATGATTTTAAAAGAAATTACTCACACTAAAAGTACTAGGCCCATGTTCTTTGATAGGAAAGTTCCACAAAATGTTCAGAGAACAGATGTGGAGAGTTCTTTCTAACCCTGAAAGGATATGCAGAGATATAGTTCTCATCTTCGTTCTTCTAGAACAGCAAAATTCTCATTCCATACTTTTTTTTTGTTTATTTGTTTGTTTGTTTTCTGTTTAATTTTTAAGACAGGGTTTCTCTGGGTACCCCTAGCTGTCCTGGAATTTGCCTTGAACTCACAGAGATCCTCCTGCCTCTGCCTCCCAAGTACTGGGATTAAAGGCATGTGTCACTACTGCTGGACTCTCTACTTGGTTTAACCTGTTTAGAGAAAGAACTATTACATTTATGGATAAAAACGCAGACCTCGCAAGTGGTGGACTTCAAAAACAAATCCAACAGTCCATGTAGACAACTAGAGTGAAACCAATTAGGGCTTAACACAGAAAAGCAAGAGGGTTTAATAATTTAAGAAGCCAGAGCTAGGAGGAGCCCCCAACTGGATCAGGCCCTCTAGATAAGTGAGACAGTTGATTAGCTTGAACTGTTTGGGAGGCATCCAGGCACTGGGACCAGGACCTGTCCTCAGTGCATGAGTTGGCTGTTTGGAACGTGGGGCTTATGCAGGGACAGTTGGCTCAGCATGGGAGGAGGGGACTGGACCTGTCTGGACTCAATCTACCAGGTTGATCTCAATCCTTGGGGGGGTCTTTGCCCTGGAGGAGATGGGAATGGGGGTGGGCTGGGGAAAAGGTGCGGGAGTGGGGGGTGGGGGGGAGAACAAGGGAATCTGTGGCTGATATGTAAAAGTAAATTAAATTATAAAATTAAAAAAAAAAAAGAAAGAAACCAGAGCTAGCAAGATAACTGAAGAGGTAAAGATGATTGCTGCCAAGCCTGACAACTGAGTTCAGTCCCTGGAGCCCACATGGTGGAAGAAGAGAGAGGACTCTCACAGTTATCCTCTGTTCTCCACACATGTACATTCATGCACACGTGCACAAATAAATACCTAAATAAATCACTACATAAGGAAGTTTTAAAATTATATCATCTGATGATAGATATTAAAAATGTACCCAATGAGATCCAATACCAACATATCACAGACTCTCAGTGAACTAAAATAGAACTTCTTGTAAGCAGATAAATGATTTAATATTTTTAAAAGCTCCAGAACAAACATCACCCTAAATTAGAAAGCACTAGACTTATTTTCTTTAAGATCAATATCTTACTTATGTGTAATATTGAATAACCTCTCTTAGCCAATGTACAGAGGCGTAGAAAAGGAGTTACAAGGATTGAAGAGGGAACAAAAACTTACCATTTTACATATTACATTAGACAGTACTAAATAATCTTAGCACTTTTTAAATGACAGAACTGGTTAAAATCGGCTAATGCTGCTAAACCTTCCTAATGCTGTGACCTTTAATACAGTTCCTCATGCTGTGGTGACCCCAACTATAAAATTATTTTCATTGCTACTTCATAACTGTAATTTAGCTACTGTTTTGAATTGTAATGTAAAATATCTGTGTTTTCCAACGGTCTTAGGTGACCCTGCAAAAGAGTCATTTGACCCCTGCCCAAGGAGTTCTATCTCACAGGTTGAGAACCACTGACAGAGATGGCTGAGCACATTTTTGCATGTGCTTGCATATATTCATCTATATTCAAAGGTTATTTGTATTTCTTGACAGTGAGAGCAAACTAGAAAGTGTAAGTAAAGAGAAAGCAGCTTTTACAACAGCCTTGGGGAGTGTAAATAATCAAGGGCTAAGGCTAAATAACTGTGCAAAATGAGAGATGCTACAAAATAAACAGACATACAATGTTTTCCTACACTGAGAGGTTCACCACAGGAAGTACTGTTCTAAGCTGAAGTGTGGATTCAAAGCAACCCCAATTAGCATGGCAAGATTGAGTTGTAAGGGAGTGGGGAATTTGATAAGATGATGAAATGTATGTTTTTTAAAAAAAAGTCAAGGGAGACAAACAGTGTGGATTCTTTGGAGTGAAGTTTCTCAGGAATGAATGCATGCCTTATTTAGACACGAGGACTTACTACAAAACTCTGATCATGAATGCAGTGTCATGTTTTCACAGGAATAGACAAATCATAGAATAAACTAGAAGAACGAAAAATGGATTAGGAAAGAAAACTGCACAATGTTTGGTCAATAAAGAGAACTAAGGATTGTTTAATAGCACTGAGGTCATATAAAGAACCCTGTAAGCCAGTGAGCAAAGTAGTATGTGGCACAAAAGATACGAATAGGCATTCCAGAAGAGAACGTCGCTGATCCTCGTTCAAGTTCATCATTAGTGATCTAGGGGATGCCAATCAAGGCCACAAGGAGAGACCATTAAGCACCCACTTAATGAGCTAAAAATGCCAAAACCAGCACCAGCATGTATGTAATGCCACACACTCTCCATACACTGCTGTAGGAGTAAGCCAACAAATGCATTGTGGGAAAGTTGTCTCTAAAGCTAAACATTCATGTGTCTTATGACCAATAACTTTACTCCCTAGCACACCCAAGAGAAAGTCTTGCACATCAACATCATAAAACATATATACTATTCACAATAACAAAAACCTGGCAGTTCATTCCCACATTGAAGAGCATATTATATGCCAGAGATAAAAATTACTATAAAAAATATTGTAAGTTTTAAAAAGACTTTCAAAATTACATTTACCTGGGTAGCATTTTATAAATCAAAACATATGTGAAGAGATGGACACCACTCATGGATTCTTAGGGAGATGTCAGAAAAGGAAAGCCAACACATAATCAACATGGGCGATATGATATGAAGTGGTACACAATCAGTTGTGAAGAGACATGGGACTGACTGTGGGACATATTTAGCATCCTGACTTTAATTCTCAGCTGTAGTTGCAGAGATGTTCATTGCAGGATGGAAACTAATAAATAAACAAACACTGGGCCACACATGAATCAATGTTGAGAGCATATCATAAGCTAAAGACTATTATTAACTAGCCCATTTAATCATAAATAGGGAAGAACTAGGAGGCTTTATGGGTCTGTGAAACAGCTGTAGCCACAAACTCTGAGGTGATGGAGTTGTTCTATATCTGAACAAGTAGCTGCTTGCCCATACTAACCACTCACAATGTGACCAGTATGACAGAGGACGTGCATTTTCAACTCTGGTTAATGTGAATTCCTTAACTCGGATGTCTAAACGGATGCACAGTGTGGACTTTCTGTAGGGGAAGAACATAGTAGCAGAGACCAGTAAGAAACTGGGCCTGGCTTAAGCAATGGGAAGTCTCCCAAAATTAAAGTTGACCAAAAGCACAAGGTACTAACGTTGTGGAAATGGCTAGCTGGAGCTCACCATTCCAAACAGTATAGCATATTCCTTTCTTTTTTCCTCCTGTCCTTCTATCTAGAGGGTGTGAAAGCTTTTCAGGGCATACACCCAAACTGCCTGCTTACAGTATCTATTCTCGCATCCATCTACCCACCGTTTATTCCCATCCATCCATCCATTCATCCATTCATCCACCCATCCATCTGCCCACCCATCCATCCACCCATACATTTATCCACCCATCCACCCACTCATCCATCCATCCATCCATCCATCCACCCATCCACTTATCTACCCACCCACTCATCCATCCATTCATCCCTGTACCCACGCATTCATTCATCCACAAATTTATGTATCCATCCATCCATCCATCCCCCTTCCACCCTCCCATTATTTAATTTGATCCCATTTCAGTAAACAAGCCAGAGTCCTGACAAACAAGCCGGATTCTTTATTATTATTATTATTATTATTATTATTATTATTATTATTATTATTATTTGAGCAGCAACTGCACATTTCAATGTATTTACCTCCTTTGGTTAATGGCATCATTCAGTCACCGTTTAGTAGCTTCCAAGTGAGATTAGAGGTGCCAAGGGAATTGCTCACTCCAACCAGGAAATGTGGGGTTTTTAGTTCAAACAGGATTTGAGCGAAGCTGGGAAGCAACAGCTGAGAAGAGAAAGATCAGATCAACGCCTCCCTTTGAAGTAAAGACTCCTCAGACTGTGAGAATAACAGTCTTCATTACTGCCAGAACTCCAAGTGGCTGCTCCTGCCACATGCTTTAGGACGTATCATAAAATCCATAAAAATATCAACAAGATGCTTTCAAGTGACACCAAACAGCTAGAGTGCCCTATTTGCTGGGACACTGCTGTTTAAAGGCAATTTGCTGGATTGCTTCCCATCTGGGACCAAGGCAAGTGCCTTCCAATCTCTTTCTCTCATTCCCTCCCTTTCTGGCTTGCTCCCTCCCACTCAGCCTCAAGTAGAAACTCAGATTTTTAATGTTTCATTTCTGCTTTCCTTTGAGGGCCAGAAAGAGAAAATGAGGCTTTTCTTGGCTTCTCAACTCTCCTCAGAGATTCAGAGACAAAAAGATTGCTTTGGGAAAATAATAATGCCAAATGAGCATTCAAATAATAAATGGGTTTTCTGGAAATTAGGTTCTCAGAGGTCATGCAATTAAAAGTTAGGAGGAAAACACACCTCAGGCTTGATTGGAGGAGACAACGGAGAGCCGGGGCAAATATTTCCACCACACTTAAAGTTCCATTCGAGGTTTTAAGTGTGGGAGCAAGTTGATTAATCTATTTGCATACTTCCAGGATTTGATAACAAGCCAGAATGCGGCATAATTTCATAGGCTCTGATTATTAACAATAACGTGGAGTGTGATTAGAGCGTTGAGTATCCAGGGGTCACAGCAGGGCAGCAAGTGGATGTGAGTCAGCAAGGCAACATTATTTAAAAAGTAACAAACATAGGCTCCTCCCACCTGAGGTGCATAGGTGCCTATTATTCCCCTGACTGAATCTGTCAGATTCTGTCACCCCAGTCAAAATCAGGGAGCTCATTTGGCTGCATACGGGCAGCAAGGAAACTCAGGACTCCTGGCGGCAGACTGAACTCCCTTCAGGGCAGAGTTTATTCATGGCTCTGTCAGCGAGATTCTTTACAGTATCAGTGACTTTTCCCATTGCTGTGGCAAAAGACCTGAGCAAAGCAACTTATAGAAGGAAGGGTTTATCTTGGCTCCCAGTCTAAGGGCCCAGTCAGTCCCAGCAGGGAAGGCACATCTGGAGGAGCATGAAGCAGCTGGTCACATAGTGTTTGCAGTGGACGCAGGAAGAGACAAGTTTTTCCACCGTGATGAACTCAATCTAGAGACTCTCACAGAAGTTTACCTGCCTAGGGAATGATGCTGCCCACAGTGAACTGGGTCTTCCTACATCAATCTATAATCAAGGCAATCCCCCATAAGACCACAGGCCATTGTGATGTAGAGAACTCCTTGTTAATACTCTCTCCCCAGGTGATTCCAGGTCGTGTCAGATAAACCAGCCAGCACAGGTGCCTGGTCTTCAGAGGCCGAGTTCTGTCAGTTCCTCCATATGTACCCCACCGCTCACTTGTTCATTATGTCCCCCAGCCCTCGATCCTCTTACATTATATGTGGACTACTGTCATTTACCCAGAACTGGCCCTCTGGCTCCTTCTTCCCATCCATCAGACATTTCTTCACAAATGCAAGATGAACCTCTTGCTACCATCTGAATATCTGTCTCCTTCCAAATTCATAAGTTATTATCCTAACCCCCTAAAAACATGGTCTTAGTAGGTGGAAATTTTCAGAGGTAATTGGGTCATGAGGGTGGATCCTACACCATGGGATAAGACTAGTATCCTTATAAAAGAGGTCCATAAGAGACTTCTCATCCCTTCTTTCATGTGAGGACCAAGTAGAAGACATTATCCATACAACAGGAAACAAGCCCCCATAAGACACAGAATACCTTGGTTGTTGGTCTTGGACTTCCCAGACCCATAATTGTGAGAATAAATTTCTGTTTATGAATTACTTAAAGGAAACACAGGGTCGTATGGGCCAGTTCGTGTGTAGACAACATCAGGATATCTGGTATGAGTCAGTTAAAACATGGCTAACATTGGATATCTGGGGAAGGAGCACTATAAATCAGCACAAAATGGCTGACACTGGATGTTCAAAGAACCCAAAAGCAAATGGTGATATAATCTGCTATATATGCAGAATGCCATTTTTGAGGTCAGAGGCATGACCCTTTGCCAGCCTACCTCTGTGTTTGCCTGTAGGCTCATGTCCTAGCCTCCATGTGGCATGTGTGCCAGGTTATATGGGTGTTATGCTCACCTGTGTGTATCCTGGTTGTGTAGGTACATACCTAGGTCCCCGTCAGCATCTGCCTGCTTAGTGTCCTGTGTACTGGTGAATAAAGTGTGTCTTATGGGCCTGTAGCTCTGCCATTGTCAGCCTCCCAGCCTCCTTTGGCCCTCCTATACTCCTGGCTTTGGAGCGTCAACCTCACAACTATTCACAAATGCCTAGCTTGTAGTATTTTGTCATAGTAGCCCTGGTAGGTGAACATATCCTATGAATACATTAACTATCTCATTGATATAATTCCAAAACTGTCAGTGGCTCATAACAGGATAATGTCTTGATGATTTTGTGAATCAAGTGGGATGTTTTCAACTAGGAGAAACAAAAATTCAACTGTTCCCGAACAAGGAAATCCCAGGTTCACTTAAGAGGAAGCCCAGACCCAGGATGAGGTGCGTGTCTCTGAGATCCTAGAGATTTAATTCTTTTTATCTCTCCATCCCTGCTTAAATCTCTTAGTTATTAACAATGTTCATTAGCAAACTAAAGTTCTAGGAGTTTTAAGAACATGTGGTTAAAATATTAATCATTTTAATAACAAATGTATGTATTACAATATAAATATGTGAAATAAATTAATGTGTGGCCAATAAAATTATAAGTATGAAATAAGTTAATAACTTACTCAGACTTAATAAATTAGTAAGCTATTAGAATTTGTATTTCTGAGACAAGTTTACCTCTGGTTAATGTTCTTTCTATATAGCTGTTATTCCCTGTTGCTCTCTTTAGAAACAGTTGATGCAAGCATAGCCCTTCATTTTGTAAATTATGTTACTGAGGCCCAGATGAGTCTATTCACTAGACACTGGTGGTTTGTCCAAGACCACACAGTAACTGTCGTGCAGTGGAAAGAGATCCAGAATTGAGTTTGAGAACTATTTCTTTCATGTAGCCAGGTATTTAAATGAAGATAGTAAAAAACCATTTGGAATGTTAGCATTCTCAAGTATGAGGTGAAGACTATACCACTTCCATCTCAGTGTTCTTATGACTGAGGTCATAATTAACCTAGAATTCATACAGATGCATTTTTAGTGCACTTGGGGAGTTGGGGCTACATCTAGACCCTTTAGACCACTGGTCCAGTAATGAGTGTCTTACCTCAACCTGGCTTCCAAGCCCTCCCTTCTGTTGGTCCAATGAGTCAGTCCTGTGTGACCTTAGCAGCTGTATACCATTTCATAGCTGTGCAGCTGGCTGTGTCATTTTCAAGATAGATAATGTACCTTCCACTTCCTCCACAGCTCTAAGCACAATGAGAGGTATGTAAGGAAGTGCTTAGAAAGCAACAAATTGCATTTTCCCCTAAAACCATTTGGAAAATGGTATATAGAAAGTAAAAATTTTAGGAAGAAACTACTTCCTAAGACAGAACTCAAGACAACCCAGTACCCCCAAATAAGTTTATTCTTAGTTTCTAAAAAAATGAAATAGTTTTAAACTTTGACCTTCGGAGGAAAGGCATAGGAATGGAGGAGGATTGGGGGGGGGGTCTTTATGAAAATTTCTAATTGCATTTCATGAGAAATCTTTGCAAAATGAATCCTCTATATATAGCTCCAAAATACTTTAAGTAAATATGCATGAGCCTCTATATGTTCTATAAAAGACTCGTGCTGACAGCTATAAATCCCAGGAGGATTAGAAAATATTGAGCTTTCTTGCTTCCTTGGGAAGACATGAGCAAATATTGAGTTACCTCGATGAGGGAACTGAGAACAGACCAAAGAACCAGCTCCCCCCAAGTCCACTTCCAAGAATCAGTGCATTTACTGGGGTCACTTACAGGGACATTGGTGACACAAAGGCAACTGTGTCACCAAAATGTGACCCTAGTATGGATGACAGCTCATGACAGCCACATCCCCAGAACCCCTGCACCATTCACAGGCTGCTCAGCAAGCCTCCCCTTTGGAGGGGTCTTGTAAACCTTGCAAGCTTAGCAGCTTTCTAAGACTTGTAAGTTTTGTTTACTTCCTGAGCCTTTTAAGTTTCTTTCCAGTTTGAGGGAAATAGCTCAAAACAATGACAAAGGGGCCAGAGAAATAAACTAATTTGGGGAAAATGTAAAATTGATGTTTAGGGGCCTGGGGTTCTATGGTAAAGTACTCACCAGTATGTGCCAGGCTGGGTCTAAAAAACTATTTAGTCCATCTAAGTGTTACTATTACACACATGTGCATCACATTGTTATGGGGAGAGGTGTTCGGTCAGGATCCATGGTCCCAAATACCCAAAGCCTGTCTTGTCCCTCTTGGCACTTGGAAACATCTAAAGATATATGCGTAAGGAACACAGCCAGATAGATGAACACTTCGATGGGAGGCTTGGCTCTCAACCCCACATGGAACCCCGGCCCAAGGAAGTAGAGCTGGGCCACCTGCTGCCTTTTGACTCCAGGAAACAATACTCAATCCTATCTTCTTATAGGCAGATGGGTATCTCTGCGGCCCACAAGTCTCAACCAGGAAAAAAGCTGAGTTTCCTGAGATGGCCACATTGCTGCTGTCAACCCGGCAAGAATTCTATGGATGGAAAGTTAATTCTTAGATAAAGAGGTGAGAGTGAGTGACAGTGGCATTTACTAACTATTCCTCCTCCTAGCATGCCTGCCTCCAACCAAGAATCCTGCCCAACAGTCCTACTCCTTTGTCTGAATGGCAACATTCTACCTTGGTGTGGGGAGAGGTGGAGATCACCTATCTCCATCAAGGTCAAGCGGCCTAGCAGTTTGGGGGCTACTTCCAGATGATAGGCAGTTCGGCTTGGTCCCCAGGACCACCAGATTCCTAGAATTCCCAACAGTGGATAGAACTTGGAATCAGACAGCGAACCTATCTGTAACATGTCCTAGGAGAACACAACGATCCTACAGCAGTGACTCTCAACCTGTGGGTTGCGACCCCTTGGGGGTCCAATGATCATATCACAGAGGCTGCCTAGGACCCCTGGAAAACACAGATATTTGCATTATGATTTGTAACAGTAGCAAAATTACAGTGATGAAGGAGCAACAAAAAATAATTCTATGGTTGGGGGTCACCATGACATGGGGAACTGTATTAAAGGGTCGCAGTGTCAGAGAGGTTGAGAACCACTGCCCTATAGAGTCATACTTCAAAGTGACCAGCCAGTGCATCCAAGTGGGTTTCAGTGGCACCAGCCCATTCCCTGCCTGTGGGCAGTGAACTCTGCTAGTGTCAGAAGAGAGTCTGAGAGATCCCACCTCCTACAGAAGATGAAGGGGAATGAGCCCAGTGCCCAACATTCTACTGCCATGGGGACATTGGCACTGAGGATCCTGGAATAGCCTTAAAATAGTCACCAACAAATGTGCCAGGCTGGTACAATATTGACAAAAGGCGGTGAGTTGTATCAATTTCAGGTTAACTGGCTACCTTCAACGACAGTACATTTGGTAAGAAAGCTTTAGTGGGAGATGGGTATGGAACGGGGTCTTGGTGAAGACACTCAGCAGTACAGAAGACTGCTAGAGGTCACACAGCCATTCAGTGGCCATGCTCAGCCTTGAACCAGGTGTCCTGCTCCTCAGGGTGAGGTTAATAAAGCCAGAAGCAGGCTCTCCTGTTGGATCTGGGGATGTTTATGTTGCTTGGCTTCTGGGTTACCTCAGTCCATCATGCTCTTCTGTCAGCCTCCAGACATGGGGCATGAAAATGGATTTGTTCAAGTGGTAACCCTGAGATTCCAAGCCTTAGCACCTTTTAAAATGAGCCAGTGACACAGAGCCAGGTAAGATGCAACCTCTGTGAATGAATTAATTAGACTTCTCAAAAAGAGCAAGTAGACACGCTGTGGTGTTTTATTACAGTTTTCTAAGTGGTAATGGAAAAAAAATCACTTGATTTCAAATCCTTTTCCCTGAGGTGTATAAGAAATGAGGAAGACACACACACACATACACCGTGCAAAATGCATTGTTACCCTGGTTTGAGAAGTTGTGGGCTCAGAGTTCCCCAAACTTGCTTTGGGAAGTTGAAAGGGAGAATGTTACATCTCGTGGGGAGGGCTCCAGCCATACCATATTGGGGAAGTGTGAAATCTCACTGGACTGTGCTGTGCTTCCAAAGGCTTGTGGATCAGCAGGTTGAATCACCCTGGCAGAAGGCAATGAACTTGTTCCTGGGATTACCTTTCTGGGTAGCCTACCACCTCTCTTTCCATAAGAAGTTGGGCCTTGGAAATATGTGATGACTGAAGATGTCAATTTGATCGTACTGGGAGTCACTTAGATTTGTTAGGCACACTTCCACTTCTGGGTGTGTCTGCCAAGATGACTGGCAGATGGGACATCACCCAAAGGAGAGGGTCTGCAGCAGCACCTGGAAGTCTGGGGGGAACCAATGGAACAAAAATAAAAGTGGGAGGAAACCCATTAGCTCAGGCTTGCTCTTTGTCCCTCTGCTCCCTGGCTGTCACAGGTGAGTTGCTTTGCTGCTTTATAGGTTCCCATCAATGGATCCAAATGATCCAGGATTGACACCTCTGAAACCGTGAGTCAAGATGAACCTCCTTTATTTCCTTGAGTGTTCTGTCCCAGCAGCCGAAAGGAAGCTAAGAAAGTCAGACCCAAATCTAAACACCGACTTCAGAGCATTTTTCATACATACCTTATATGTATAGCTTGAAGGCAATTTCACTTTGTATTTTTAGCCCATTGAGCTCGGTCACAGGAGATCAGGTGAGAAAGTCTATTTGTGGCATCATACAAGCTAGGAAAATGTTTCCGATTTTGGAGTATTTCAGATTAAGGATGCTGGATCTTATGTCAAGTCTGACAGATCTACAAAGGTCAGTAAGAGAGGCCACTTTTCAGGGGATGAAAGGCTCAGAAATCAGGGGATGGTAGACCAAGTCATGATGATCAGGGCAGTAGCCTCAGGATTATAGGATATGAGGAAGACAGGATCGTAGATGCATGAAGGCGTATCCACACAGTACCAGCCCACAAGGTGCTGGTAAACACAGTCAGAGATGAAAACATTGGGTGTCACCCTCATCCAGTCTGTCTCTTGACGATGCATGCCCCTTCACTTGGGACCCCAGATGTAAGTTAATGTAGGTCCAGAAGTTAAAGTCACCATTTGAGTCCTGACTTCATTGTGTAACCTTGGACAAGTTACTACTGTTTCTGTTCTTCCCTGGCCTCAGGGAGGTGATAGTAATAGCCACCTCTTAGGTTTCTCATAAGGACTCAATGTGTCTAAACACAAAGAGCCCTCATGATGGAGCTAGTGTGAGAAGTGTTCCTCTGTAGGCACATTTCTCTGTAGGGACAGGTGATCCTCCACATACAACAGGGCTGTGTCACTGATAGAAGATGTTATAATTTGGAAAATCACTAATACACATAGCCCACAGGGCAACAAAGCTAACATGGTGTACTCTCAACTATCTGCTGTGTCTGCGAGCCAGGTGTCACCAGAAAATGTTCCCTACCGATACCTCAAAAATTAAAATAAATAAATAAAAATGCAAAGTTCACTTTCGACTGAATGCAAACCCTTCTGCACTGTTGTGAAGCTGAAATTTTCTAACGGTAACCATCAAAAGTCAAGGGCCCTGCGCATCTGCTTTGGACTGGCTGAAGGATTTGTAGAACCTGACAGAGAAGAGAAGGTTGATAGAGACATTTGTAAATACTGTGCTGGATAGGGAGATTTCAAGAGCACCTCATAGGATCGATACATATGAGTGCACTGTGGTCACATGGATACACACACACACACACACACACACACACACACACACACACACACAAGAGGACCGCACATCACATCACCCTTCTTTTGTGCAAGGGGAGGAGAAGGAAGAGGAAGGAGCTCGCATCAATTGAGTACACCAAAGACACTGAGAAGGAAAAACAAAACAAAACCTTCTGGAAGTGATTGCATTT